GGAACGGGACAGCTTGACCATGTTTTTTGTATCTTCTATGACTTGAGGAAATGGAAATTGGGGTTGGAGGTATGAGAAGAGAATGACAGAGAATGAACTACTAATGTGGCGGAAGCAAAGAGAGACTAAAACATATACGAAAAAGAAAAAGAAAGAAAAAATAACTTGCTGGAGGGGCAGAAAGACAAAAAAGGAAAGAAAAGGGGGTAAAGGCGTCCCTCTTTTTGAACATTTTATTCGCCCTGTTAACCAATTGAACAGATGCTTTATATGTTTCGTATTGTTTTTTCGGACTGTCCGAGCAAAATAAAACATGGGGAGAAGATAGAAAAAATAAAAGCTAGTCTTTCATATGTAAACGCAGCGATGATAAGAGAAGGTTCCATCAACAGGTGTTTGATATTTCTGAACAGTTCCTACTGTTTCCACAACTGATTGGATAAAAAGTAGGATTAAACCCTGCTGTTGCCTCTTAGTTGCCGTTTAAGCAGCTTTTCTTTGTAACGAAACAGCCTCTGCCCAACTATGGCAATACCAGTAGCCATAGTCAAGCCAAAATGATGTTGAATGCTTCGGCCTATCGAGATCCCTAGTCAAAACCTCTTAAGACAGCTATCGATAATGTGGAACCAATGAATATTTAATTAAGTGCTGAAAACCATATTTCGAGTATGCAATGCCGGTCAAAGCTAACGCTAGATTTATGCAATGCTTTATTTTTTTGAATAGATCTTCTCCAATGCAATAGTGTACATTGTTGATCGGATCGGCGATATTGTGAAATTTTTTGCCCAATTCTTATGCTTAGCATTCTATTATTTTAAGATCCCAACTAAATGGTGCAGTGAAATGCTAGTTAAAAATACAACATTACTAGTGTACAAATATTTTGCTGGTAGTAACGCATTTCCTTTCATGCTCCTTCTCTTAGAAGCACCTAGCATTATATTGTTTTTCTCTTTACATGGTGCTTACCCTTAGTTGAAGCTGAGCTAGGAGGAATCTCAAGTTGGGCTGGATACTGATGGCTCTCTGATGTTTATCTTAAAAATATTGCGCTGAAAGCTGGAGTTACAAAAGAGTTGATTGCACACATCAAAAAAGAAACAGATAAATACCTAGCCCACATCCACAGCTGGTATCAAAGCAATCACTAGAGGGTAAAATCCAAAAATGCTAAACAGGTAAATATATTGAAAGACAGCCCATTTGATTTTTGCGGCCACAAGCAGTGCTTATATGCAAGTAATGGTGTTATTAGTTGTACTATTATTTGCGCCATTATCATTTCCATAGCCAAATGTGAATGTACGGAGTACACTATTCAGGTACTGGCACAGATAAGAATAAGCTTGAGCGGCTTCAATTTGATTGAAATACTTGGTTTTGATATCAGTCGTGTTGCTTACAATACTTGACTTCATGGTAAATAACTGCCAAAGGTACTTGAGTGAGGCGGGGAAGCAATTACCAAGATATACACCGATAATAGTCTTGATACCTGCTACACCTGCCTCCGTGTACGCAATATTTTTGAATGTTGCAAGCTTTATTAATCATCATTTTAGCTATCCTAGGAAAGCTTACATATAAGTAGGTTTTTTTAATATGGTTTTTTTCGGAATATGAACCAATGAATAAGCAGATATTATAACCAGCTAATCCTCTCCTTCTAGCTTGAATGTGTATCAACATAGACAGAATACCCCACTTTTGCAATAAAAATTTGATAATTTTTTGTGAATAGAATTGCTACTGCTGTTACCTTGAATATTTATTATTTTGCTTCAAAGGCAGCGAATATTTATAAGTGCTACCATTTTATTACTTTTCTCTTCTCTCCACACCTATTTATCCTCTTTTCCTTATTTTTGAGCTCAACGTTACGCGAGAAAAGGCAAGTCATTACTATAAAGTATTAAAATGCTATTTAGCTAACAAGTATTGTATTGTATATGAAATCCACAGCCAGCGCCTGACTCTTATAAACCTTTCTCTCCACAAAGGTAGCAATAAACAAGCAGATACTAAACAAATTAATAGCAAAAAACTGTATGCTGTCCACAAGACGGGGTAAATATATCATCTACAGCTGCCACCTTGCCTATTATTTTTCCTAATCTCTTTTGCTGTAAGATCTGCAAAGTTAGTAGAAACTTCATAGACTCTGTCTATCATCATCAAAAATATATATTAACCAAGCAGAATCTGCACACTACTTTTACAAATCTAATGAATGCTAGGTAAAACTGGAAGACTTCAATGCCAGCCTAAAATTATCACAAGCTGGCTTAATAAAATATATAGTGAATACTAATTTATTGTAGAAGTTTTAGCTCTATACAGTTCCTTTTAGATATCCCTAAGCTCTGTTACCAGGAATATCAGGCATTTTATTGAATCCCAGGCATAGGAAATGATTTTCTGCAAGCTATCTTGCTGATACTAGCTTTGTTTGCATCTGTGGTCTTGAAGACATTAGCTGTACCTGAGACATCAGAAAAAATCTGATGCTCCTTGTTGCGAAATGCAGACATGTTCTTAGGAAATGTGTTGGAAGTGAACTCCTGCATATATCCAATACTCGCAGCACTCCCTGTGCCACTTTTGAAACATTTTAAAGCAGCAAACAGGCGCTCTAGATTTATGCTGTGCTCTTCAGACTTGTAGTGCTTTGTTTATAGAGACTATTCGGCCAAAGGTTATTTTTTTCACAGGCCTGTGGTCTAAAAATTTCCTGCCAGCTTTATAGAAATTTTGACTGAAAAGATGGAGAAAAGGAACTAGCGCAGCGGCAGCTGCAACCGGTACTATAGCTAGGCCTTGCTGATGCTTTACTGCTTACTGCTATCATCTAACTTGCTATTTAACTCATTGCTCTCTTTGTGGGAAAAGGCATAGATGGGCCATAACCCACATAGGCTTACCTCAGCTGCTCTGATGGTGCTGAGGCGCTGCCTGTATATTTGTTTTGGCCACCAAACTGAGGTATTAGACCATAAATTACAAAATATATACTTAAAACTTGCTGTTAGTAAGAGAAGAAAAATAAATAAATAACAATATAGTATTAATTTGTTAGTGGAAAGCATTTGCATGGGAAAACCCAAACATTACCACCATAATCAGTGCTTTTATACTTTTATGACTACCAAGTCAGGCGATATAGTTTAAATTTGCTAATATAATGTCTAGCAATTACTCTGATAGTAATTAGTATTTCTCAGTTAGCCCACATGTAAGCAATACACTAATAAATGTTATTTTTTCATTTTTATCTTGCTAGACCAACAGCTTGTATGTCTTTTATCTAGTTTAACCCTAGCCTTCTAAGTCTTTTTATATTGGTATTTCTTTTTTATCTCTTGACTCAACATAACAATACTAAAACTTTATTCCCTTTTAGCTGCAGTTGTTTGCTGTACAGAAGCAGCAGCCAGCGCACCAAAAAGCAAGTAAAGCCTACTATACAAGTAGGGAGTAGCTATTTTTTTGCAAAGCAGGTCATTCAAGTTGCAGAAGGGTTTTGAAACACGATTAATAATCTTCAAATAGAAAAATAAAGACTATAGGGAATAATTCTAGAGACAAAAGAAAAGGAAACCCCACCACTATTCAATATACCGGCATATATATAAATTATATACATCTCATTAAAGAACATATGATGTATCACAGAAAGGACGAAAAGCGTGAGACGTGCTTAATACGAAAGTGAGGGATATATATCAAAGTAGCAGTATAGTCACACGTCACAGATTTGCTATAAAAAGGATATAGCTTGCAGTTTAATAGAATTATATTGGGATATTTATCTGTATGTAATTAGCTTACCTTGTAGCAAAAAGGTATAAAATTATCTTCATTGTAAGTAACATCCACAGATATATTTTGAAAAAAGTTTCTCTAACCACACAGCATTACTCATGTTATCAATGGTAAAAAAGCCAGTTGCTATTAATTACGATTAATAAAGACGGTGTTAGCTGTGATTAATGTGCGTTTTTTATTTTTGGTTAGTCTGAAGCTGCCTCTACTTACTTTGAGACACACACCCTTGCTATTTTTTTTTACTGAAATGTCATACTTAGAGGATTTAATGGATTATACTTCTTTAATATTACCACTAACTTGTATTATACTTGCTCAAAACAAATATTTGTTATATTGGATTGACGGACGGTGGCCTTACTTTTAATGCAATTCATGACCATTATTAACAAAACATGATTGCTGCTTTTGACACTTAACACAGCGAGTTTTATGGTGTGCAAAGATAACAACAATTAGCATGGGATGCCTGGTATTAGGTAATTGAATTTTTTAGTGGCAGATAAATGTCTGATGCAATTGGTATCAAAATTGTCAGGTCAATAGTTGGATTTTTTTAAAGATTTTTTTACACTCAAAATGGCGAAGTATATTGTGCACGAGTATAACAAAATTAAGTAGACATAGTTTAGTAATTAGCGAGAGGTCATGCGGAAGATGCCCGGCGTTGGGCGGCCGGTTCTGCGGTGGCAGGTGAAGGCCCGATGTTGAAGGTATCGACATCGTCTGGGTGATAGTTGACTTGTAGATGGTGAAGGCGGTGGTCAGTTTTGTATGGGAGTGAGGTGAAGGATAATTTTCCACTCAACTCTTCGCCTCTCGGATCGAATTGGAACCACTGGTTGGATACCTGCAGCCAGTGTTTCTTGAAGAGATGTGCCTTCTTTTTTATTGTAAAGGGGTAGCTGAAGTCACGAACGATGCGGCTCATGAGGGTAGATTTCCATCGGACGAACATAGCATCTCCAGTGCGCTTGATGCCGTTTAGGTTGGTTTCTGCATGAGAACGGTATATTTCCCAGACTCCCAGTCCATGGGTAGCGTCAGGGTACGATTTTTTTAAAAGAATTCCTTGTACTATAAAAAGAAGAAATTCGTTATGTGTACTTTTCACAAGACCCATAGTTTAGAAGAAGGTTTTCGGATTGAAATGAATCATGAAGAATCACGGTTCTATAGTGTAGTGGTTATCACCGCGGGTTTTGATCCCGTTAACCCGAGTTCGAATCTCGGTAGGACCTAAATGTGTAACCGTTTTGATATTTTTGGATTGTCCTTTTTTGCTTTCACTTTTGTTGGTTTTGTATTTTTAACAGAAAGGTATTGGTTTTATTTTTTAGTTTCGCTCGCCCCTCAGCTTCCTTTATCAATAGCGTGCTCTTCTATTCTCCACTTTATATTCCATTTTCACAGGATAGCTTAACATAGTTTAGCTTTTATATTAATTTTTATTATTTACTGGAAAATATTAATAATATACTTAATACACAAGTACCACATGGTGGCAATGTCGAGCAGCTGAAAAACTCTTGTCTGATTTTATCTTCATGTATTTCTTGTTTATTCAATATCCAATAATACCTATTTTATACAAATCAAAAAGAATAACAAAACATGAACTTATTTATTTTGAAAAATACTGTCCTTCATCTAGCAGTTTATCATATAATACTGCTTTTTCATCACGCCGTACATGCAGCAGCACCGGCATCGGGTTTTGAAGATGGCGACGGCGATATCAAAGGATTACTAGGAATGCGACCTGACCTTGCAGACGAATTGGCGCCCAGCGCTGATGGAGACAATAGTCCGTTTATTCAGGGCAACAACGACGGAGACGCAGTGTTCCCTTCCTCGCCACCGAACGCGGCAGCAAGCGCAATCAGCGCAGCAACAAAAAAGCAAAATGATGATATTGAATGCATCAGCGGCTGCAAGGACACCGATCAGAGCTGTAGGGCACGATGCCTTGGAGTGCCTGGAGTTGCTGCACGCAAGACGCCACGAAAGCAAGACATCAGCGGCAATCTCCCGCTTAACTGGCGCAAGCACAGCGTAGCAAAGGAAACAGGGCTGCAAAACTCTGCGAGCGTGTTGCAGTTCAGTCCCATGCTGCTTGTTCTCAGTTGTCTTGTTTGAGCAAAAGTTTTGTTTTACAATTCCCCGTCTCTTTTAGCCGCATGGCACTTTCTTTTTACTTTATATTCTCAATCAAAAAATTCCTTTTCCAAGCAGCTGGTAAGGTAAAGAGAAGAAAAGCAGCCTTTTATTTCCCCTCACTGTTTGCTGCTTGTTTTGCATTTGGTTGCAGAATAGATACTGAAGGTACATGCAAGCTGTGCAGTTCTCGATCATTCCGTTGCTTTTTAATATATTATTCAGTGTTAATATATATTTTGCATACTTTGAAAAATGTGTCTACGGCGTACGCTATGGACACACCTATTAATAGCAGCAATTGCAGCTCAGCTAGCGGTAGTAGCAACAGCAACAACAACAGCAGCAGTATCAACAACAGAGAAAAAAACATCATACAAATCTACAACAACACAACCCACAACAAAGACTACCATCGTGCAAAAACAGTGGCACAGGCAGGAGGCAAAGCACGCTGATGCAGTGCAACTGCATCGATCCAGCCATGACAGTATAATGTCGTGCCTAGGCGACTGCGCCACCTCAAAGTGTCGAGATGATTGCTTTTTAAACGATATGAGCGACGAAGAGATTGTGCGACGCACGCAGAGATGCACCGAGAGCTGCAAGGATGAGCCTGAAGAGCTGGTGCAGATGTGTATTCAGAAATGCTCGTATTATTTGATGGATCCTGTGGGTCACGATTTGGATGAGCAAAGCATAACTGACTCGCGTGGGCTTTTGCCAGACACACCACATGTGAGGACACGTATTCGGTTAATAGGACCCGACGGCCTGCCGATCATCAGCACAGTGGAGGATGCTGCTGAGACTGCTACACCGACAAACAGCGAGGACTCAGCCAATACGACAAGCTCGACGTGGACGCCAGTGTACCGCGTACATATCATCAGCGGAGCCGGAGAACGCTTGTACATTTGGTGGGGCTATTACTTGGTACTCGTGATATGCCTGGTGCTACATCTGGAATAACCAACGGCTTTTTATTGACATCTGTCAAAAAGAGAAAACAAGCAGCATAATACTGTTCTATTTTTGGAAGGCAATGATAATGGCACAAAAAAGTTGAACGGACATTATATTCCCACTCACTCACTGATGTCATTGTGTTTTTCCGCTAGTCTTTGTGCATAGCACTTTTTTGCCTTACTGTTTTCATCTGTTCGCTTTTTTTTGCCAAATTAGCTCTATTCCATTATCCTTATTTTCATACTCTTAAATTAAATTTTATATAATTATTATTATCATAAGCGATGGACTGGTTCTGTGGGCTGTCGTGGAATCGCCGCAAGGTGTTCAAAGCACTGGGTGTTATTCCCGTCTTTTTTACTCTTGTCTTGCTTTTATGGTCGGTCGTTGGATACACACGGTCTGTACTCCCGCTAATTTGGATTGAGAGCAAATGGTTAAGTAGGTTACCACAATTAGCTGCTGATGCTTTTTATCGCCTTTCTTCTTATCTAGTACGGCTAAAATCCTTTTGTGTCTTACTTGTAGGTGTGTTTTGTGGAGTCACTATATACGTTATGTGGATGCTGGCGACATGGAGCTATATGGTATGCGTGATGAAGAACCCCGGAAACCCATTGGCCAGCTTTGGCGCAACAAGCACAGCAGCATCGGTACCCGGAAGCAACAGCTCAAGCAGAAATGGGCCTTACATTCGCATTCCAACGCAAAGTAGCTCACGCACCCGCATTCGCACAGACTCGCACGTGCAGACGGCCGATCAGCTGAGCTCAGACTCAGAAAGTGAGGACGACACAGACAGCGATGGTTGCAGCGACGATGACAACACGCCTTTAAACGAGGAGCAACTGCGGCGGTCAGAGTTTATGTACGCGATTACAGTAAAGGACAACGGAGAACCACGGTACTGCCAGAAATGCAATGTGCCAAAACCAGATCGCGCGCACCATTGCAGTGTGTGTGGCGTGTGTGTGCTTAAAATGGACCACCATTGTCCATGGGTCAACAACTGCATTGGATTCAGCACACAAAAGGCGTTTTTGCTCTTTATTTTCTACACGGCATTTTATTGCCTTATTATTGCGGTGTCAACATTGGTATTCTACATCAAGTTTATATACAATGCACCAGGCACCCAGGAGGTTGAAATAACTCCGCTAGCACTGATAGTTCTCTCGTTGTCGTTCTCTCTGGCGCTGGTATTCTTTTCGGGCTTCCATATCTACTTGGCGTTTAGCAACCTGACAACGATAGAGAGCTACGAGCGCAACAATTTTAGGGCTGACGTACGGCGCAGAGGCAGCATGAAAAAGCATATTAATCTGTTTGACCTTGGGATAAAAAAGAATCTAAAGCAGGTCTTTGGTTCTCACTGGCCGCAGTGGTTTGTGCCAACCCAAACGACTCTGGGCGATGGAATGCGGTTCCCTATTAGTTATGAGAACTACAACGAGCTTCGCCAGAGCCAAAGCGTCTAGTCTGTGAAATTTAGGTAATCATTATTTTTTTGCATAAATGCGTGTACAATACGTTTGATACAATAGCTGAGTAAAAAGAACAGCAGGAAGAACGCTAAAGGCTAGGTGGTGGGAACTGCCAGAACAAAAGTCGTCGAAAGAAAGATAGAAAGATGAAGACTTTAAAATTTCACATTGCTGAATCCAGTGCTTGGTGTGCTGTAGCATCTTCCACAGTGTTCGCATGACAGAGGGCCAGCTTTTTAATCGACCTTTGTAAGCTGCGACTAACACTGATGAAAAATAGCATAGAAAGAAAACGAAAATATAAATTAGTCGTTTGAACAAAACAGCCGCAATAAACACAACATATACAACACACACTGGCAAGCTGACAATGATTAACTTACACCAGAATGAGCAAGATTGAATATTGCAGAGTTGTTCGCGAGTGTCTCTGGGCATCAACCGCCCGTGAAACACAGGTGGGGCGTACATATCGTGAGAAAATTATGACCACACCATCATGCCAGTGCACAGCCATCCTTGCAATGGTCCAAGCACCATTGCTTACTGTCCTTGCTAGGGCGCTTGGCTGGGGCTATCTGACCAGTGCCCTCGATTGGCTTCTTACGGCAAAGCGCTCTGGAACTTTATGCTCCACTGAATGAAGGGCATTAAGAATATGCAAGGGGCTTAGAACAGCTACAAAACTACGATTCCACAGGCGCCTGCAATGATCGAATTGTTTGCGAAGGAGTATAAAATAAATTAAAAATGTAACAAATTCCCTTGCCTGTTTTTATTTATACACAAAATATCTTGCCGATTATCTAGCTTTAGCTATAGCTTAAGCTGATGTATTTGCTGCTGCTGTAGAGGCCTTGGACTAGAATACAAATCCAGATAAACCAAAGAATCAAACAATAATAAAGGGTTTTGGTAGACAATTAACATTTCAAGCATTAAAATAAAAGTAGCTGTTAAAAGGCTTGCAAACAGAAATTAAGCTGTTTTAAGTTGCTATTCCGGAAATTGGGACAATATTAGGCATTGTCACAATCGATCCGGCTCCCACTATACAATTTTTGCTAAGACTAAGCTTATAATACATGCATATATCAAAACAGAAAAATACTTTGCAAGAATACCTGGAAACACCTATTAAAATAAATTGTTCTTCCATTTATTATAATGTTTTGGAGCTGCTAAATAAATCCATGATATTATAGCTATTTTATTGGTGGTGTACTCTCCAGCAGGAATCAACAGAGATAATTACAAGAGACTGGCAGGAGAGATGGAGAAAATAGGCTGTGCACGCTTTGCATCTGTCCAAACCTACACACATCTATGCTTGCTTGCAAAAAAAGACTAAGATTCGCTATTATTAAATCCAGCCTTTATAAAACGCTCACATGATCGAGGTCAGTTTTTTATTGGCCAACAATAGCTGCGACTTTAAGAGAATTAAATGAAGCATTTTGGCTATCATTGAAGCTCTTCTTTATATGGCTACCATCGAGCACGATATAAAAAGGTCGAAAATTTTCCTTCGCCTTCTGCTCTTTTCCTCATTCAACAATATCCAGTTTTTAATTTATAAAACTTTTCATTCCTCGCCTATTTTTTATTTATACGCAAAACACTTTGTCGAT